TCGACAGGTCGTTGTGTGTCGTGTATTTTAAGGCTTGGCGTCTGACGATTATCGTTAATCGATATTCGCGATTTGTGATACTTTAGTGCGCACGCGGACTCTGTTAATGTGCGTGCGGCGTGCGTGTGTGTCAGTTTGTTTGTGGTGTGTGTGTATGTTCGTTCGTTGGTACAGGCTACAACCGGTAGACAGTACTGTTTTATTGTTGCTATATGTACATATATACGCACATTGGCGAACACCGAATGTTTCTCATTTCGATTTTGATACTCTGATACCAAATGATAGAAGAGTATGTTATTTAGCGACTTTCATAACTTTCATATATGTTTATCGATAATATCGATAAGTGCAAATCGATTGTCTCATATCTTTCAAAATTTGAAAGCCGGACCTTCCGGCCACACTGGCCCTTGCCCAAATATCTGTTTTCCAGCTTTACTTAACCAATTTGGGTGACAGATTGCTGGAGATTGCTGCGTGCACCAAGATCCGTTTTAGTGCTAGAGTCAACCGATTTAAACGGCACACCCACTGCAGCTACTCCCCCCACCCCCACCCCATCAAACGAGGGTTATTTGCCACCTGTTATTAAGTGTTTAAGTGGTATCAGAGTATGGCGCAGTCGGTGATGTCCGACTGCAACGTTCTCACTTGTTTTCTTCTGTTTTTTTTCCGCCCCAAATCGATTTTTATCTTTGTTTTTCTTTTCTTTTTTTTTTTGGCCAGCTCATATGCAATGCGCAACATATTTGTTTTTTAATGCCACATATACACACAGATACATACATATGTATATACATTTTAAAAAAACTCCTTATACATATGCGAAAAAAACAAGGTGGGTTGGGAGAGTGGGGAAAATATAGATGGGTAGATGGGGAAACTTACCTATAACGTCCGCCTGCATCGCCAGCGCGGGCAGCAGCGCCGCCGCCTCCGCCACCGCTGCCACTGCGTCCACCACGACGGCCGCCACCGCCGCCGCCACCACCGCCGCCGCCCCCACCGCCTCCGCCGCCGCCACGTCCCTCCCGCGAACGGCCCGAGGACATCTCGACGCGAATGCGTGTGCCACAGCAGCGGGTGCCGTCGAGTCCACGGGTCGCATCCTCCGCATCGCGACGATCCTCGAACTCCACAAAGGCGAAACCGGGCGGATTGCGGGCGACCCACACGTTCCGCAGGGGTCCGTATTTGCTAAACGCATTCTCAATCTCATATTTGGAGGCCGAGGAGCCCAAATTGCCAACGTACACCTTGCAGGCCAGGTCCCATTCTCGATATCGCGGCATTGTCTTTATTTGTATGTGGATAGTGCTTTTGTTCTTGGTTTTTTAAATTTTAATTTACTTTATTTGTAATTTTCGTTTTGTATCTTTTTTTGTGGAATCTGTATCTATATCTATTAATTGCGTCGCTAGGTACACACAATTTTTTTCGTCACAGGTAAGCCACAACCACGCTTACGTACAGTGAAAATTTATATGCGATGGCGTTGTGAGAATGTCGATGGAAAGATACATCTACTATCGATATAATTGTACATATAATGCGAGGGATGTTTAAGGGCTGACAACCAAAAAATTGGTTGAACTCAGATCAGACGTGTATAACACAATGTTTTTGATAACAAATACAACATAAAAAAATGTATTATAATTGAATACTTTTTCTATCACGTTTCCTAGTATTTATAATATGAGAAATTAAGATCTCGATGCTGAGTAAATCGATTTCTCTGATCGATAAGCAAAATGGCGTAAAACAAGATGGCAGCCAACCACTGATTTAGTGTTGCCGCCTTAGTCTCTTTCAAAAAGATCTGTCAATATTTTCCTATTTTAATTTAGCCAAATAAAAATGAGCAAACGGCCTCTGTTTCGATTAACATTTACTTTTTCATAAACTTCCAACATTCAACATTTTTTACCTATGAGTTAAAATAATTTTTAAGCTCATCGAAAACGATAAAATATACTTTCAAAACATTTTTAATAATATTCGATAAATGGCAACATTGATTTCGAAGTCAGCACTGTCATTCGTTTCCAACTATCAAGCCTAACAAAGCGAATATGATAGCAGGCAGAAGTACGAAATTCATAAATGCAACACGATTGCATTAGAAAGGAAGTGCGATCCATACGATATCACAACGGGCTAAAAATGGCCTTGGACGACCTTGGACGGCCACCTAACCTAATGCTTTTCATTATTTTATTGCTGGTCAATCTGTGCAATGTGTTTGTGAGCGGTGAATGGCAGCAATGCTTGCCAATGCAGGCTGGTTATAACACAACTATCGATACCAATCGATAAGAAAGCAGCAGCATGAGCCCAAGCAACCCTGGTATTTGACAGTGCGGCACATTCACCACGCACAGCTGAGCTTTGCTATTATTTAATCGCACAACATTTCGTTGACATTCATAAAAAACTTGAATAAAATCACATAGTACAAAATGTCCAAAGTTCCCGAAACTGTTGCCTTAGAACAATTGGATAAGGATCAAATGAAAACAGTGAGTAATTCACGCCATTTAATTGATAAACACCACAGTGCAAGTGATGCAATGTGTAATCCAAGGAGCCGCCTTAAGTTCATTTTCATGAATTAGTTTTCAGATTTTCTAATGTCCTACAACAAGCTGAGTGAAATGTGCTTTACAGACTGTGTGCGCGATTTTACGTCTCGCGACGTTAAAGACACAGAGGTAAGCAGCAACGTTAGCGGCATTTAATGCTCATGTGGCGAATTCAAAAATCGTTTTTGCAGGAGAAATGCTCGCTGAATTGCATGGAAAAGTATCTGAAGATGAATCAACGTGTCTCGCAGCGCTTCCAGGAATTCCAAATGATTGCCAACGAGAATGCACTAGCCATGGCCCAAAAGACCAGCAAGATGTAGAGATAGAAACAGAGAGGGAGAGATCGAAAGAGAGCTGCAAGTTCTCAAATCCAAGTAGTTTAGTTAACAACAATACACCGATACCCTAACCGAGCAATGCATTTTTGTTGCATTTGTATGGTCCTTAACTAGATATTTAATAAATACCAGAAAAAATAAAATAAAAATGAAAAGAATTGTGTACAGGCTAGTTACGGTTTGTTATAACATTAAAGTTACGCATTTATTTTGTCCAATATTAAAAGTTTTCACATTTCTGTATTTGCATCACACATTAACACATACATTGTATGATCGCGCTGTCTCTTTCAACCTGAACAACAAACGTGATTTTCCAGTAAATGGAAAGTAATAACAAATAATAATTGAACGGTCATCTGTTCAACATATGTATATCCGAGAAATCACTTTATAGAAAAGCTCCACGCATTCAATTTAAAACTAAACATATTTCTATCCTTTTCAATAATATAATGCATAAGATTGCATATTGGGTGTTTCTTGCCCTCTCTTTTCCATATTCCTTTCCGTAAACGTTGTCGTTTGGCGGGACTTTGCTGAGATTTACAAAGATAACTAGAGATCTATTTATATTTATGTGTTTGCCAAGCCATACAAAAAGGGAGATGGGGAGTGGTTTTAGCTGTTCAGCCTCATAAATATATATTAATGTATGAACTTTTAGAACTGCTTATATGCTAATTGTGCCAATTACTACACTCTGCCAATGATCAATTCAGGTTAATCTATATGCATACACATATATAATATAAAGCAAGCAGATTCTAGCCATATAGCGATCATTATTCAATTACATTAATTGCTTAAAACTTAAATCTATTGAAGCCAACGCCAGCGGCTTTACTAAAATACTTAGTTATACACACAACACACACTCACTCACACATGCACACACATACACACACACTCACTCACACATGCACACACACACACACAGACACAAGTGGGAGGCTGAGGTTCAGTGACTGGTGCCGCCGACTTCGGATGGGAAACCCTCCGCCTCATTGATCAGTGCATATTCCAGAATGACGCGACCCTCTTTGTACCTAAAATGAAATGATGAAATTATTGAACATTCACTTGTTGCATATGACAGCGGCAGACGATAACTAACTTTTGCGACTCCTCTGTGGCAAACTCGTACATCCAGCCTAGCTTGGCGCCACAATTCTTGCACATAACATCGCGCACCATGTGGCGTCCAGTGAGCATCACTCGCTCCTGAATTGCGCTGAACGTTAGGTTCACCACACGCTTGAACAGATAGGCGCGTCCTGCATTAATTAAGCATTAGTTAATTAATTAACCATCATCATCAATCAAGCTAAACCAGCTTACCTGTGGCGCCTGTGAAGCGTGTGCTTATCAACTGGCTGCGATTCGTCAGATTTGTGTGGCATTGGGCGCAATTGACCAGCTTCAGTCCGCCAAGATGCTCCAGAAAAATGCGACCCATGATTTTCAAAACAAATGTCTGAAAAAGTATAAAAGAAACATGTAACGGAGTGTTTGCAAAACAAAACAAGAAACGAGAATAGCCAAACAATCTATCCTCTTGCCGCATCGGGGTCATGCAGACAAGTCTGAACAAGAATATATATATATATATATATATATACACACATAGATATACTCGAAATGAAGATGATAATTTCGGCCAGGGCATATGCAGAGAAGTGCCTCTAATAATGATTTATATATTGGCTGTGCCTCTTTCTCTTTATTGTGTTTCCAGGCGACTCCTTGCCTGCTTTCAATTGCAGTGCGTATTAGCATGTGTGTGTGTGCGCGAGTGTGTGTGTGTGTGAGGAGCGTTTCTTTGTTTGGCTGTTTGCACCATTGCAATTGAATGTTGTTGCGAAAGTGTTGCTATTAGTAATAAATTGTAAGCAGGAAAATTCAACTCAATTTATCGGCAGAGTATTAAGCTATTTTCTCCCCTTTAAATTGCACGCAAAATGCAAACTTACAGCTGTTTTTTTTACAAGTTTTGACAAGCACAAGCAAACACCACAACGGACCCGATATCCAAATGCAATCGAGTCAGTAACATTCACTCTTTGATTTTTATAGCAAATCAAACCCAACTCGCTAATTGCGATGTCAGCGATTACACACAAATATGTAAAAGAAAATAAACTAAATGAGACACAGCGTAGCAATAACAATGCACAACGCTTACTAGTGCCGTCGCACGAGTATCGATGCCAAGCTGTTATCGATCACGATAAGCATGCTGATGCATGATTGATCGTTGTGCACTTTTCGCACCACGTTATATATGCTAAATTTTTTAAATTGAAGGAATATATATTAATGACAACATTGTTTTACTTGACAATGAAAGTGTATGATATATGCTGCAAGCAATCAAGTAATTGTTGCAATCGATAGTGCGGTGATTATTGACGCCCTGGTCAACAGCTGTTCGCTACACGTGATTGTGCAATTGTTGTTGTTGTTGTTGCTGATGCCGTTGTTGTTGTAGATGCTGCTGCTGCCCAAGCGTCCATTTAACCACTTTGGAAGTCGTTTTGAATTATGTACATTTAAAATTCATAGAAAATTCTAAATTTAGTATGTGCTCAACGATTTGAATAATCAAAATTTCAAAATTTACAACTATTTCGGTCCAACTACCACCACTCAATAAAATGGACTCCTAAGACTGAAGAAGAAGAAGAGGAGATCATGCAAATTCCATTTCAAGCGATTAGCCAGAATAAGACGAAGAAGACAGCAACAACAGCGGAAGAGAGTTAACAGCAATAACAACAACAACAACAAGTAAAGATGCACTTCCTGCGACGCAAATTGCGCACACTTCTCAGTCTGGGCAGCCGCAGCATACGAAGAAAAGTTGCCAACTCAACCGGATCTGGGGCGAAAGCCGATGTTCGAACTGGAATGGTACAAAAGATGCGTGAATGGCATACAAATGCTTTTAGCAATAAGTTTTTGCTATTCACAAATGTTGGCATCTCATTGACGCTCAGCTCCGTCGGCGATATACTCGAACAGCAGCTGGAGCTGTACAACGAGGAGATTGATGAATACAGCAGCACACGCACCCAACATATGGCAACCAGTGGCGTTGCCGTCGGCATCATCTGTCACTATTGGTATCAGCTACTGGACAAATATCTGCCCGGTCGCAGTATGCGTGTGGTTGCCAAAAAGATTGTGCTCGATCAGTTCATCTGTTCGCCACTGTACATATCGGCGTTCTTTGTGACGCTGGGCATACTGGAGCAGAAGGATGCACAGGAGGTGTGGACGGAGATCAGGGAGAAGGCATGGAAACTGTATGCAGCCGAATGGACGGTCTGGCCGGTGGCACAATTTATCAATTTCTATTGGATACCCACACACTATCGCATCTTCTACGATAATGTGATTAGTTTGGGTTACGATGTGTTCACCTCCAAGGTGAAACATGCGCAATCTCATCTGCCAATTGCTGCTGCCGTCGCCTCATCCTCCGCCGCCAGCGCCGCTGCTGCCAAGAATCTAAAGACGCAACATATTTAATTTAATTTAATTTATTATGCAATGCATCTTGTAAATATAAACATTTTGTAAATAAGGATCTTGAGGCCAGTGTGAATCGAACCAAAGATGTGCCTTGATGTTGCCGGCCGAGCAGCTCTTCCAATAAATGGGCCAAAATACGATGATACAAGCAACAAACAGTCTAAAAACATGTCTTTAGCAACACAAACTAGCACTAGTTCCACGAGTATTTCAAATCCACGCCTGATGCAATTTTCTGGTCCACAAAAATAAATAAAAAAAAACCCGTTTGTAAAATGCTAAATGTGCTTAGTTCTTAGGGGGTATTATATTTATGTCGTGCAATTTGTAACCCCTTGCAAGAGATGTCTCCGAACCCATAATGTATTTATATATAAGTTTGTATATCTTACTCAAATATCCGTCTATCTGTCACAGTTTTAAAGCTAAATTGATGTAACTCTTCGTTGATCCTATAAAGTATATATATTGATCCGCAGCAACAGTGGAGGCGTCATTCTAAACCAAACAATCAAATCGATTTCTGATAGCAATAAAACACGGCTTGTGCCGATGAACATAACTAAATATGATAGTCTTGTTAGCCTTTTTACACATATTCCAAGCAGCGGAAAAGCAGCTTCGATTTTAGCGGGAAATAACCACAATTGGCAGCACTGTCTGAAAAGTCGACGCAGTCAGTCAGCTTACATATATACATATATGTATATGCAGCAACAGTTATAACCGGTTCAACGCAAAAACCCCCTGCAAATGCTGTTCCACCTCTCCCTGTCCCAACACCTATGTGGAAATCAAGTGTTTTTTATGTGAAGGACTTTCGAGTACAACGACCGCTCTCAACTCAAAATTGATCTTGTGCAATAATTCTTGTTTGCTTCATTGACCAAAGATGGAACCTTTACAATTGTTGCACGTACAATTAGAATAAAAATTGACCTGAATTTAAGAACATCGCCCTTCAATGAAAACTATAAGTTTTTCTTGTTTTTAGAAATAAATTCTATCATATAGGAAACAAAAATTTCTAAAATTTAAAAAAAAAAACTTTCCCGCAATCAATTTATATATATATATACATATATATATATATATATATATTTTTGTTATTTTTTTAGAAATAGTTTTTTTTAAACGTCTTTTTCGGGATATCGGAAACTGGTTGGATTTGTATCGATGTTCGCATAAAGAAGAACAAAGGGGAAAAAATACTTGATTTAAGTTTGGTATACGAGAACAAATATTCTAAATTTGAAGTCTGCAAAAGTCTCTGAGATCGGTAAACAGATATGGATATGGCAAGATCGACTCGTCATTTGATGCTGATCAAGAATATAAATACTTTATGTATATATTTATGTTATATTATAATATTTCCATACATCCCAGCATACGAATGACAATGACGCCAATGACGCAGATGAAACGCGTCGCTTCAAAAATGCTGAGATGATAAGGAAAAGTATTCCAGATAGATAGTCGCCTGAGCGATTGGGGCAGCAACACGCGACAATATAGAGACAGTGTGCGGTGATAAGGCACCCATCGGTTGCTACCTACAAAACTATACTACATACAAAGAAATTGACTTTTTTTGCCGCAGTTAAATATAAATCTGAAAAACCCATCCGAAATAAAATGATAAAGAATACAAAAAAAAAATTAAATAAAAAAATTAAATACCAGCAATCAGTGATAATAAGCGGGGACAGGCGCATAAATCAGACAAACATCTAAGCTATACAAATATATATACACAGAATACATACACATCACAATGCAGGTGGAACGATATCACTTGATAACCGTTAATGAAAAGCCTATCTCGCACCCGGGGGGGCTACGTTAACCAAAAAATAATGCTTATCGTTAACAATTTTGAATGAATTTTAAATCGCGAAATTCTGCTTGACATTGATAATGAAATACCCATAAAGATACACATACAGACAATCGTTATTAAAATGTCGACCTTGATAACGTTGGCTGATAACAAACATTGCAGATTTTCGGCATGCATCTTTTTTTTGTAACCAGGCCCAGCAACAGCTACAAAAGATTTCAATTTAAATGAAAGACCCGCTGACTTGGGCAAGTCGAAGATTACACACACTTTCCGGACAGTTGTCGAACGCCTCACATTAAAAACCATTCGATTGTTTCTATTTTATTTATGTATTTAATGTCGACAACAAATTTCAAATAGTGAGCAACAAAAAATTAAATTAAAATTGCAGAATGGTCAGTCAGGAATTGTGATCAAAACCGAGATCAGAACTCAAATATAAAAAAAAACGAAAGTCAACCTTTGCTGACGCCCTAACAAGAAATCCAGAAAGCCAGAACCGGAAACGGGTGCTTTCACCGATATTGACCGTTTGAAACTCAAAACTAGAACTGAAACCGAATGTCGATTCACTTGCATGCATTCATTTTGCAATTTAATGCCCACAGCAAGATCATGAATAACTTAACTATTGTTTCTGATCAAGAATATATATATGCCTATATTTATATACCAAGTGCGGTAAGCGTTACACACTTTACGACAAAATTATAATAGCCTCTGCAAGGGTATGCAAATTAAAATACAAAATATATGTATATATATATATATATATATATATATATATATATATATATATATATAATATACATATGTATATATCGCCGTCACATTTCGATCTTTTGTCCATGAGTTGCGCATTTTAATGCGATGTATTTTTTTTTTTTTTTGAATATTTAACCAGAACGGCAACGAGTTTGGATTCCAGCGGGGCTTGGCCAATTTGAGACCGGTTTTTTTTTGGAAATTACTTATTTTTTTGGAAGATTAATTTTCTTTCTGGTGGCAGCTGTGCAGTGGAAGAGACTGCGAAGTAAGTTAGCAACCAAAACTTGATTGTTTGAAATTGGCTAACGAAAGCTAATTGTTGTGCCAAGGGTTTTTGGGACCTAACAAATGTTGCGGGAGTATGTGCGCGCCTGTGTGTGTGTGTGCGGCAGCACCCACACTTAATAACTGATTGAAGTCGAACATTCAATAATTAGCAAAATCAATTCATTGCGAAATTCGAGTTCGAACTCTAACTCGAATTTGCATGCAAGCTGTCGGTGCTCGTCTGCCTAAAATCGATTGGCAGTTGTAATTGTTATCGATATGATAACAAAAATGCGTAATCGTTAGCTTTACAAAATTTGCTGCAGAAGTGGTATGTATTATCAGTAGAAATGGGTTTTATTTTTGGATAACACGTGACAAATTGAATCAGGTGAAACCATTCATAAATCAATATCAATATTTTCTTTTTGTTTATTTATTTTGGCGAAACTACTTTTCAGTTGCAAGAACTCAAAGGGTCAATTGGGCCAATAGCGCGTATACGTAATAATCTTAATACGAAATTCAGTTAAATACAGCCACAAGGTTGTTGCCATTGCTGTAAGTCTAACCTAAAAAACAAAAGAAAAACAAAAAAAAATTCAACTTGTTTTTGCACGCGATTGCGAATGACGTGCGTTTTATAGTGGTTGTTGTTGTTGTTGCTGCTGTCGTTGGCTTTGCCATTGACCGATCGCACAGCAGAGAACGAAAACAAGTAAATAAATGAAAGGAGATAAAAAATAATGCATTTATTCACAAGATGTTGACAGCAGTGCACCCACGCCACTCTACGCCAACTCTCTCCTCTCTCTCTCTCTCTGTGGGCCCGCTCTTTGAAGAACGCGCGCGGATTGGCCAATTTTCTGGGCTCGTCTGTTGTGTGTGCCCCTCTCACACAGCGTTTACGAAACACACACACACAAATACATATATATTGCAGTAATTATAGAAAACGCGTTTAGCAAAAGAGCACAGATCGAAAGAGAAACAGCAGAGAGAGCCGAAAGCATAGGTAGTTATTGTAAAGAGTTTGCAAGCGTCAGGAAAGAGCTGAATTTACAGATGCGAACAGGTATCGACACACATACATACATACATACATAAATATCATAGCTGAGTGTCACTTAAATTGGACACTTGCGCGTGTGCTTATATGTATGTATGTATGTGAGTGTATGTTTCTGTATGCATACGTTTCTTTTTACTTTTTTTTGTGACTGATTCGATTTTGTTGACTGAGCTGATTTTTGCGGCATTCTTTTTAGGCCCTTTGGTGCCACGCGCAGTCCCAGGTCGTGTATGTGTGTGAGTGTGTCTGCTTAATATGTAAGCATGGAAAAAAGTCGATGAAACAGAAAGCTCAACTACAAAATACCTACATGCATGCACACATACATGCTTACATATGTAGCATGTGCATATCTTACATTGATATTGGGGATCGATACTTTGTACAAAATGATTTTCACATTTGTAGGAAGCAATGCGTTTTTTTTTATTCCTTATTATTTTTTGCTTGCTAACCAAGACTGTAAATATCAATCAATTAAATGTGGATGTGAATTATACACGAGTTGCAAATATAAAATAACCCAAGTGGATTATCGCTTCTGTATGTAAACACATGCGTGTGTGTGTGTGTGAATGTGCGTAAGTAAGTACATACGTAAGCAGATACGGTACATTAGCGAAAAAGAAGCATACACACACACACATTCATTCATATGTATGGAGCCCTGCTGTGCCAGAAAACAGGTGATCAGCTGACTTATGTAAGCTAACCTACATATGCATACACAAATACACGCACACACACGAATGTGTATTTATGTATGTATATTTGTTTGTTTGCAGTCAAATTGCAAATTTTATGCTTAAGATAAGCATGATTGAAACACGTGCGAATCTCGCCAGATCATTAAGCATGTGAATTAAAATGGTTCATTAAGCTGTCAGTTTTATCAATGCGAAGAACCTCGCAAATAACTTGCCATTAGCCTTGAAAACGGTGCAAAATTTCAACGAATTGCGTTTTTTTTATTGTCTTTCTTTGGAAAGGCGAAAAAAAAATCAATTAGAGAGATAGTTGGGACAGCTGGTAAACAGACGTCTGAATTATTATCTATTTTTGAATGCCAAAGCCGAATTCGACAGTGAACATGAAAACACACGCCTCTCAGTGGGGTGCAAGAGGGGGTGCGGGATTGGGGGAGTGGCTGCGTCGACCTTGAGAGCACTTTTTAGAAACGGCAACAGAGAAAACACCAGAGAACACAACAACACCATCCGACAGAAGGAGAGAGTGAGCGAGAGAGAGAGCAAATTCGGGAGAAAATTGACTACGTCAGCAAATAAATCACATGGCGCCCACGCATTTTTTGAATATAATAAATAAGACTGGGAAATGTATATGTATATATATATGTATATATATATATATGATACTCTTACGCATATTTCACTATTAATGGTGAAGTTTCAAAAATTCCAAGGAATAAATATTTGATTTATGTTTATATGAATTTTCGAAAAGTATTCTCATTTGTGTTGGGCGTCCAAAATATTTCCATATATTTATCGAGGACTTCTTCAGCTTAAATCATCTATCGATTTGTTCTCCCGCTTTTAAATATTTGCTATTTTTGCTATAATTCTCTGGTATCAAAATACTTTCTTGCTAGCT